CCCCAAAACCCCAAAACCCCAAAACCCCAAAACCCCAAAACCCCAATGTAAATTTTCAAGGCTGATAATAAATATATAATATGTTCTCCCTTCTCCGCGCTACAAAGGTTCATTCTAAGCCAAAATATCTTAAAACGCTCTTCCAAAGGACCAGAATTGCTGCCAGCCTTCGCCAGCAACACCTATTTCCTCAAAATATCTCAATTTGTAGATATTATAGCACAAATCTCAAGAAGAAAATTATTAATCAAAGGAAAAGCGAAGGTGATGACCTTATGAGGCAATTTCTAGGTAAATTTCAGCATTATTTTGTAGCTATGAAGCAGAAAAATCAGTACTATGAAAGCCTTAATGCAGATAAGGGTGTTGATAAAGGCAGCCAATACTCTGAGACGAGCCAGGATGTTGATGTCATCAGGTAATTCCCCCTCAGCTTGTTTAAAATTTTACACAGTTTCTATAGAGGAGATCCCAATACGTTGAATATGAGCAATATGACTGAAGACCAACGCTCAGAGATCGATGAGCTACTTGAGCTTGAAAATGAGGTATACATCCACCAAAAACCCTTTAGGTCTCTGACCTTCTCAAAGGTGTCAAGAAGAAAGAAGCTACAGGTCAATTCCTGTGCGAAGGCTGTGGAGTCGGCCTCCAGCACGATAATAAAGATACTCTTGGCTTTGTGGAGAAAACTAAATTTTATAAGTAAAAACGCATCTAAATTTAGAAATGTCAAACACAATTATGAAAGAGAGCAAACTCTTGGGAATAAGTTCTCACAGGGAGACAAACAAAATATTTATGAAGAAATCAAAGAGAATTTCGGGGATAAAATCCCTCTCGAGTTGAAGAAAGCCTTGGAAAAGGAAATTGAACTCCAACAGAACGATGTGCTTGGCTCTAGTTCTGTATCAGAGGTGTTCAAGGGCAAAGAGTACCTTTCTATTTGTGACTTCATATAGAGTCAACGAGGGCGACAATCAGTATGTCCAGCATAATTTAGAAACAATGCTTGAGTTGGAAGACTTGGAATTACCTACTGAGAGCGATCTTAGGAACACTATGAATAAGACTAAAAGGAGACCTCTGATTTGTAATAGATGAAATGCTCTAAGGTTTCAACATAAGGTAAATATTTCCCCTAAAATTTAGCTATTAACGCCTCAGAAACACCAAAAGGACATCAAGCTACTTTCCGACTTTGTTCTTGATTTCGACCATAAAGGGATCATGGACTACATCAAGAAGCATATTCATTACAGGGACATTATTATAAAAATTGTGGTAAGGAAAATGCTCAAAAACTTGTAGGACATTACAGACTTCCAAGGAACTATAATGCCTGAAATATTTGAGGTTGCAAGACACAACAAAAACCATCTCATTCTCGTTGTTAATAAGGTGGATTGCTTGCCAAAGCACGTCAGCTTTATTCGGACCCAGAAATGGATCAGAAGCATGATCAATCCGCTTACTGAGGACATTGTAAACCTTTGAAGTAATTTCTAGAAACTCACTGTGTGTCAGACAAGTGCTAAAACTGGTTACGGACTTTCAAAAATAGCTGAGATTTTGGACAAGATTAAGAAGATCTATGTGGTAGATAGAGTTTACAGGAGAAAACCTAAAATTTACGTAATGGGCTGCACTAATTCAGGCAAGAGTTCCTTCTTAAACCAGCTTATTTCTTACACAACCAAGAACAAAGAAAAGCGCAGTAAAGGGAAAAGAGGAAAGACTCTGTACGACCGAGAAAAACAGTTTAAAGAGAGAGGGATGAATAAGGATAACAGACTCATGCAAGACCTTTTGACTGTATCCCCAATTCCTGGAACTACAATGGACTTTATAGAGGTAGCTGATCTTAAGTATGGGTTGAAGATCTACGATACCCCTGGAGTCCCCAATCCTGGCCAAGTCATTTCAAGGATTGAGGATTACCAAGATGCAATCCAAGCTCTGAATAACCAGAAGATCATGTCCTTATCTTACGAAGTCAAAAGTGGGTACTCAGTCTGGCTTGGCGCATTGGCAAGAATTGATTTCTTAAGTGGAGAGAGAAAGAACTTCACGTTCTTTGTTTCACCACATGTGACTATTCATAGGACTCCTTTTGACAAAGCTGATTCTGTTTATGAGAGTCAGGCTGGATTATTGCTAAGACCCACATATACATCCGTACCTGAAGAAACTGAGTTTGTCAGTCATGACATTGATCTAAAGCTAGAATCTGGGTCTCAAGCAGGCTTCGATATTGCTATTTCAGGTCTGGGTTGGGTATCTCTGACTGGGAAGGGGTTTATCCAGCTAAGGCTGAGAATCCCAAAGGAAATAAAGTTCTCTGTAAGACCTCCTCTCATGCCATTTGAAGTAAACGAGAGAGGACTCAGCAAGTATACAGGGAATACAGTCAATGCGAACAGTAAGAAGAATATCAAAGGTAGAGAAAGGTTTTTACTAAGAAAGAAAATGGAAGAAGAGGCTATATCTAAAATTGCCCCAGCAATTTAAGCAGTTAGAAAGATTTTTCAACTAAGATTCACCTTTTTGGGGTTTTGGGGTTTTGGGGTTTTGGGGTTTTGGGG